GGGAGGAGAGAGAGAGAAAGGAGGGAGAGGGACTAGCACGGGAAAACCATCAGGCCGGGCGGTATTTTCAGTGCAACCAAGAAATGACAGACTCAAGTTTTAGTTTTAAGACTAGGAAAAAAAATGCATCTTCCCCCCCATAACCACATTGACCACGCACAAGTTTCCAAACAACAACAAAAAAATAAATCAGGCGCACAAACTTCACCCACAAATATACACACACATGATAAATACTTTAGAACCCCAGGAACAGCGAAGCGTCTATCGCGCGTCCGGGCCAGGGACACCCCGCCGTGGCCCCTAGGCGACTGCGGGCTTCGGCCGCGAGTCCTGCGGGCGGCGGGGCGCCCCGAGCCCGGCGTCGCCGCCGCCCGCCTTCCACCTTCGGGAGAAAACATTTTGACCGGAGGATCCGGTGTCTCGGGACTCCGAACTTGCTGGTAGCGAGACTCAAATTTCAAAGGGGCTGCAGCCCGCGCCCCGCCCCCACCTCCCGCACAACGCCCCCCCGCCCCAGCGAGGCGGCGGGCGGGGGCCGTGGGAAGCCCTCGGCCCGGGTCCTGGCGGCCGCGCGGGGGCGTCGACCCAGGGCAGCGGGCGCCGCGCGGCCCCCGTGGGCGCGGACGCGCGCGCGCCAGACTCGTTGTGGCCTCTGGGCCCGGGAGCCCGGTGCGCACCGAGGTAGTTGGCGGGAAGGTACAGCAGAGGACACGCTCGAGGCCCGCGTCCGGGTCCGGGCGGGCATCACCGGCCGCTGCCCGCGTACTTGGCCTTGGTGATGAGATAGAGCACGATGTCCTGGTGGCCGCCGAACGCGGCGATATGCAGCGCGCTCCAGCCGTCGCGGTTGGCCAGGCGGATGTCGGCGCCGAACTTGACCAGCAGCTTCACGAGCTCCAGGTTGCCGTCGATGACCGACTGGTGCAGCGCCGTCTGGCCCTCAGGCCCGAACGAGTTCACGTTGAACTCGCAGTTGGTCATGTTCTGCAGCAGCGACTGCAGCTCCTGCGTGTTGCCCTTGCGCACGGCCTCCTGGAAGATGCGCTGCGTCTGCGGCGCCGAGCAGGTGGACAGCTCGGCCTGGCTCATGCTGCCGCCGGGAAAGGGCCGCGGGCCGCGCCGGGGCTCAGCGCGGGCGGCGGCGGCGGCGGCTGCGGCGCGGGCCCCTGGCTGTCTCGGGGCGCGCCTCGGCGCATGGAGGGCGCGGAGCCCCCGGGCCCCGCACGCCGCTCCTGGGCGTTCCGGGCGCTGGGGGCCGGGGGCCGCCGCAGCGGGGCCCCCGCCGCATCCAGCCACGCCCGGGCGGGCGAGCGACGGGGGCGCACACTGCGGTCGCGGGGGCCGGTGGGCCCGGCGGCCGCGCCGCGCGATCCCAGTCCCTGCTCGCTGCGGCTCCCACGCGGGTCCCACACGCCTCCCCACGCGCAGCTGCACTCGCCCGCCCGCCGCGCCCGGGCGCCTTTTACCCCCTTTATATTTGCATAACAATAGGGCGCCCGTGACGCGCGCGCCGGCGGCCCTACGATTGGGCGGCGCCCACGTGGGGGCGGGGCGGGGGCGGTGCCGGGGCGGGGCGTGCCCGGGCGGCAGCGCGCTTCGCGGCAGGGGGCGCTGGTCGCCGGCAGGGGGCCAGGTGGCCGTGGTTGGCGGGGTTGGGGGGAGCTCCTTGCTCCACGCGCTCTGGGGCTCTGGGCATCTCCGCCGTCGTCCCGCCTACTCTCCTTTTGGCCACCCGGGGAATTCCAAGCTCCCTGCTCGGACGGACCCAGGCCGGATTCCTGGCCGAGCGCGGCCTCGAGGTGGACCCGAGGGCGGCCTCCCCCATGGTGGGGGTTCGCGGGCATTTCAGACCCGGGATGCCCGGGTAGAGACCCGAGGCTCGCTACGCGCTCCCGGAGCGCCGGCCGTAAACCCTCCGCGTCGCTAGCACGCCGGGTGCGCGGCGACAAGACTGGCCCAGCCTGGACCCCAGGACACAGGGTCTACGCGGGGGCCAACTCCACGAACAGCTCGGGCGTGTGACCTCAGCCACGCGGGCCTTCCCGCACGCGGGCGGCTCCTCTGGCGGCCTGGGTCATCCCGCGTTTCCTCCCCGACCTGATTGGCTTGAGGAGCCAAACCCTGAGGCCCCGCCCTGACAGAGAAGTAGGGTCTCTACCGGAGGAAGCAAGGGGCTGCCCCCCTCCACCCCACCTCCCTCTCAGACGCTCCTCCAAGGTCGGGGGGGGGAGGTCAGTCAGCGGGACCTCAGGGCCTGCTTCCCTCTGCTGGGCCACCTCCATCAGCACGACTAGGGACAGGGTGCTTGGCCAGGTGAGCAGCCCAGGAAAGGCGCCAAGGGCCGCTCAAGAAAGGAAACCCAGAAATGACTCATTTCCAAACTGTAAACCCATTTTTTATTGATGCTCTAATACTGCGGCCAAATTTCCTCATTAGAATTTTACAGTTTATAGCTGGGCTGCGGTGGCTGGAAATTGGGCAGGAATGATTCTCCGAGCGGTAGGCCTTGGGCAGCAGGCGAGCACCCAGGAGCTTGCATTCCCTCAGAAGCCAGCTCAGCTCCGGGCCTCATCTGGGGAGACCACCCTGCTAGGCCTTGTTTCAGGATGGGCTCCCGTGGGTGTCTGCCTGGTGCCCCCCGTGTCTGGACACACATGTGGGTCTGCCCCTATCTTGCTCTGTGCTCTGGAGGAGTCACAGCCAAACCGCAGATAAAACTGCATAAGGCCACCCCAGGGCTGGCTGCCTCTGGTCGGCTACCCTCAGGCCTGGCCGTAGCTGACTATCATGGGGTCCTCCTGGCAGCCGGAGCTCCCCGAGTCCCTCACTCTGGTCTCCCTGAGGCTAGTGGTCCAGCTGTTCTGCTCAGACTTGCTCCCACCAGGAGCTCCCTGCTGTGCAGGTGGGTAAGCCCGGGCTCAGCAGAGCCTGTGCTAGGTCCAGCTGTGGTTGTGACTTGGGGGGTGCTGCTGGTATCAGGAGCCCCTCCCTTGTCCTGCTCATCTTACCGGGAAGTGTCCCTGGGCCCAGTAAGGGGACCTGGGAACAGTTGCTGCTGGAGTGTGAACGCCTCAAGGGCAGGGCCCCGACCACCTCCAGCACTCCCCGTATCTCCTGAGCACCAAGGAAGAGGGCAGAGGCCCTGTCCTCTGGGGCCCATAGTTCCGTCTGGACAGTGACCCTCAGAGCGGGTGAGCATGCAACCCTGTGCAGGGCTGTGACCTGCTAGGCGGGCACGTACCTCCCTGCTTCTCCCTGGAACAGGGCTGGGCGTGGACGGCAGGGTACTCTGAGAACGTGCCCAGGGCTGTCCCGGGAGGGCAGTGGGCTCAAAGACAGGCCCCAGCCCAGGTGGGCTCAGGTCCCCTGACCTGAAGAAGGGCATCTTGGAGACCCTGTTGTGCCCGGGAGCAGAGCCTGGGAGAAAAGTCCCATTGACACGGCACAGGCTTCAGGGAGGGCAGACAAAGGGGCCCTGTGAGCTCCGTGTGGGAACGTGCGGCCGCCACCACAGGCCATGAAATCGGTAGTTTGGGTGTCCCCAAGCTGGATCCGCATGGCCAGAGTGGCCGTAAGAGTCTAGCCGGAGGTTGCCTCCTGCCCCACCCAGGGTTCGGTGTGAGGGTCAGACAGGTTTAGCCAGGCCTGCCATCGGGGGGTTCAGGGGATGGTCACACTGTCCCTGGGGAGCTGATGGAATTCTCCACTGTGGCTGGGTCATTTCGTTCTGAGCCGCTCTGCTCCACACCCTAGGAGTTGCCCCATTCAAGGACAGGAGGGGAAGAGGGGCTTGCAGAACACCGGCTCCTACATGTTTGCTGAAGAAACAGTCCGAAAGGAGGACATTTGTTCCAAATGCCTTGGAGAGAGGGGGAGAGGCCCGCCATGGGCCAGGCCCTGCCCCGGGGCTCAGGAAAGCCCCCCTCAGGTGTTTGTGGCTCTCTTGGTGGTGTCACTCCACAAACTGACTCTGAGGGAGAAACCCCTGACCTGGGATCTGTGGGGACGCACTGAACCCTGGCTACACAGCTGGACCCCGTCCTTCTCTGCATCAGCTCTGAGGGTGCTGGCCCAGGGGGTGCCACCCCGCAGGGCCATGGTGGGGTGGAGGCCGGGGTCGCAGGGGGTCCCCTTCTTCCTCTGGGGACTCCCTTCCTTTCCAGGCTCAGAGCAGTGGGGAGGGGGGAGCAACGTGGGCAGGGGTGGGGCAGCCTGGGTAGCATTCTGGGATACGGGCTGGGAAGAGCTGGGTGGGGCAGCCTGGGGAGCACAGCGCAGAAGGGGCGGCTGGCCAGAGCCGGGCCAAGGCCGCGGCCACCTTAAAGGCACTAGGCAGGGGAGGGAGGGTGAGCAGGCAGGCGGGCAGTGGGGGGGCGGGGCTTCCAGCTAATTCATTAAAATGTGTCGGGGAGCGTGGGAAAGAGGAGAGTGTTTCTTCCCAGCAGCCCAGACACCTGGTAGAAGGGCCGAGAGAGGATAGAGATCAAATAACAAACACTCAGCCCTCGGCCAGAGCGGAGGAAGGATGCCCGGGGCAGGAACTGTGGCAGACAATCAGTTTTCGGCTCTTGCCTGCTCTGCTGGCCGCTCAGGGCACGGCCTGGCACTAGGACCACAGCCCACCCGGTGGGCATGGCGCCTGACCCCTGGCCTGGGAAGGGGACTAAGGCTGTCCGGGGGCCTCAGAAGGTTCTTTGGGCTGACCCCCTGATGGCTCAGGACCAGCGGTTTGCCGTGGAGCCAGGCTGGGCAGGCAGTGAGCGCCTGAGCCTCGGAGGGTTCCCCGGAGGGTCCCTGGAGGGAGACAGCCGGTCTGGGCAGCAGAGGGGTGGGGAGGTGGGAAGGAAGACTGGATGGTACAGTCGTGGCTGTGAGGGAGGGGCACACTGAGAAAGGGCCCCACTTGGTTGCCCTCTCCTCCTTCGAGAGGGTACACAGGGCAGAGGGATGCTGGGGCTGGGCCTGCCCGGTGGGACAGGAAGGACACTTGGTCTCCTGTCTCCCTGCGCTTGTCCCTGGCTGTGGCCTCTTTCTGTTGAGGACCAGCTGCAACCACCATCAGGGCCTGGGGTCAGGGCAGAGTGTCCAGGAAGCAGCTGGGTTGGGCAGTGGGGCCAGCACCCCTGGTGGTTTCCTCCTAACCCTACCGGGGCAGGAGCGTGCTCAGGGCTGCCTCCTAGGACTGGGCTGGTGGTCTGGCTCTTGGAAGCAGCACCCCAACCACAGAGGGTCCCCACTGCTGGTGGGGCTTGCCTGCTCACCTTGGCAGCCCTGCCTGGCCCTCAGGCTCAGGAGTGACCAAAGGGTGGGGAAGGCCAGTTTGCAGCGTAGGCCTGGCCCTGTCCTCTGAGCCTCGGAACCTCTCCCGCCGTCTGTGCAGGGGCACCCTGCTCCAGCTGGCCCCAGAGTGGCTGGGGGGCTGAGCGCCTGGCGCCCGGTGGGCACTTCCAGGGAAAGGAGAGGATAGGGAATGTGGCAGGATGTCCGTATGGCCTTTCAGCATGGCCCCCAAGCTGGGCAGGGGCAGAGGCAGGCTAGGCATGGCCTGTGCCCACCTGGTACCTGAGGCCACCACACCTGGGCCTGCAGGTGCACCCTGCTCTGGGCAGAGGCGGCAGCCCCGCCCCAGCTCCCAGGCCCCAGCAGTCCCGAGGCTTCCGCCTGGGCTCCTCAGCCCAATCTGAGCTGGTTTCCGCTCAAGGCAGGAAGGACAGGAAAGGGATGTGGGGGGGGGCACATTCCTCGGGGGTGAGCCAGGAGGAGGCAGCGAGGGCAAGATGCAGTCTGGGCTCCTCTCCCCGCCCACCTGGCACCAGTGCCCGTGGGCCCTTGGGGTGCCTGCCATGGGCGCCTGCGCCTCAGTTTCCCTCTGAGTGGGCAGAGAAGCCCCTGCTTCCTGCAGTTGTGAGGGGAAGGCTCTTGTGTGCAGGGCTCCCCTGTGGCTTCGGCTGCTGCCCTCTTTCATGAGAGGGGGCCACCCAGCCTTGACTGGGGGGTGGGGTGGGGGGAGGAAAAGAGGCCTGTGGGGTCAAGCTCCGGCCAGCGAGGGGGCCAGGGCAGGAGGCTCAGAGGTGCCGCCTTCCCTCCAGGCCACGGCCTTCCAGTACACAATGGATGTCTTCCTAGCGGGGGGCTGCCCTGCCCTTGCACCAGGCAGGGCTGGGGCCCAGTCCCCGGAAGCCACCCCGCCATCTGGCCTAACGGGCCCTGCCCCACCAGGATCCCACAGCTTACTCCCTGGAACCAGAGGACCCCGGAGGGTCCTGAGGCCAGCCTGGCTGGGACCTACTTGGGGGCAGGCAGGAAGGTCCTGTCCTGCCTGGCCTGGAGGCTTGGCCCTTGGCCGGAGACGGCCAGCAGGGTGGGGTAGTGGGGGTGGAGTGAGTTAGCGCAGGGGGAGCCTGTGTGCCCCCACCCCCCAGCCTGCTGAGCCCCGCGGACAGGGAGCCACTTGGGTCCCACCCTTGGGCCTTTGTGCAATTTCCTCTACCAGGCGTGTCCTTCCCACCTTCCGCCAGCCTCATTCCTGAATGTCAGGCGATTCTCGGCTCAGGGTCCGAGCATCCTGACTGTGAGGGAAAACTTGCATCCCCCCCGCCACACTCCAGCAGCTGTGCGGGGCTGGGACCCTGCTGGCATGCCAGTGGGGGGCACCCAGGTGTGTGCAGGGAGTCGGGGGGCAATGCAGACCAGCGGGGCCCACGGCCCTGTCCTCAGGAGGGGCCGCTGGCTGGGTGGGGGCCGGGGGCTCAGCTCTGCTCCCAGGGGCTGGAGGCACCATGCAGGACCTCGCTGAAATGCGTGGTGATGCGGCCCAGGTGGGAGCCCTCCCAGAAGACCCTGCCACAGCCGGTGCAGCAGAAGGGCTGCAGGCCCCGCCGTGGCAGCATGCCCTCCGGGACCCCTGCTGGCTGCAGCCAGGTGCGGTGGCCCAGGGTGGCGTGCGCTCCGGCCTGCAGGTCATCCGCTTCCAGCCAGCGGCAGGCCAGATCATAGCTGGAGCCCCTGGGGGCCTCCTCCAGGGCCGAGTCGAGCCGGGAGAGGTGGAAGCATCGCTCTGAGCGCTCAACCTTCAGGTGTCTGGTCCCCACCCCACTCCTTCCGGAAGCTCCTCCCTATGTGGCCCCATCCCCCCAACCCTCTGCCTCATCTAACCCACGGATCCCCGGCCCTCCCCACTGGTCCTGCCCCTCACCCAGGGCACAGGGACCATCCTCTCTAATGGGCCAGGACATGAACCCTGGTTTGGGCTGGGGCCGTGTCTGGAGCCCCACGTGTCCTCCAGGGTGGCCCCAGGGCTCACCTGCCTCCTGTAGGTCCTCGCTCGGGTGGGCTCATCACCTGTTAATCAATCAGGGTCATCAGGGATTGTCCTAAGGATGGGGCCCGGCAGCCCCTGTGCCCACAGTACACCTCCGGGCGCCCAGCCTCTCCCCCACCCTTAGCAGAAAGGGCAAAGGGCAGGGGGCTGAGGAGCTTTGGTGCTAGCCCGGTCCCCTCCCATGGGAACTCACACCTTGGAATGTTCTTGGGGCTCAAAGGTCCTTGGGAAACAAGCTCTGGGCGTGAGATTAGCCAATTAGGGCACTTGGGGGCCTGAGAACTGGCTGGTGGGGGCGGGGGCATCCCATCTGCAGCGATGAGCAGATAAGCCACTGCCAGGGGGGAGCGTTTCACAACAGCCTGCACCCCAGCGGGCGGGCAGGGGCCCCGGGGACCTGCGGGAGCTCCGGGTGCCAGCAGAGACCTGGGAAGCGAACACTGTGACCCTGCGAGAGGGTCCCTACCCCCACTACGAGCGTGGGAGATGCCACGGAGACGGCCAGGCCGCGGGCGGCCGAGGAGGCAGCGACGGTGGAGCAGGTGGGACAAGGGTCCTCCCCGTTCTGCTGACCTTCCTACTTGGCTCAGCAAACACTTCTGCCAGATGGCTCCAGCTCAACGGCAGTGGGGGCCTGACTGGATGCGCCCCTCACCCGAGCCCCACTGCCTCCTTGGAACCCAGCAAGGACACATCCTCCAGCTGGCCGGCCTCTCTAGCTTGCCGGCCCATCTGGCCTCAGCCTCTACCTGGAGGCCCCAAAGTACCAGGGGGCCTGCAGGAGTGCTGCCCACTACCCCAGGACAGTGGGGGCCTCTGGGTGGGCTGCTGGTGGCTCAGAGGGACGGGAGACCCGCGCTCCCGCACACAGCCCCGCGCATACACTGCTCCTCCCCTCCTGGGCCTTGAACGCTTCAAGGCCACACTGCGGAGAGCGGCTGGGGCTGGACACAGGCCATCATGACGGCTCACCTGAAGAGTGGGTGGCCCCCCGCTCTGGCCCGAAACCTCCGAGGGAGGCGGGAAGAGCAAGGAGGGATGTCAGCATCCTGGAGAGGCACCCAGACCTCAGGCTGACCTGCCCAGAGAGTGTCCCAAGACACCCTTCTACGCATCCCATGCTTGGCCTCCCCCGAGGAGGGGCTGGGGGCCAAGGGAGCACCAGTCAGGCTCCGCTGGTGCCCCCTCCACGGGGCCCTTCTCTCTAGAGGGTGGAGGCGCCATGCTAGGAGTGGCCGGGCACACTCGCAGCCCTGGCCAGCAACTTCGAAGTCTCTGCATGCTCTGCACCCTTTTCTTTCTAGTTTTACAAACACGGAAACTGAGGCTGGCTGGGGGTTGGACCTCTGGGGTTTGCCCTCCTTCCTGTCTGTCCCGGCTCAGCTACCTTCCGATTGCTTAGCGAGTGCCAGTGGTGCAGAGGTGTGCAGGCAGATGCCCATGTGTGCCCAAGTGTACGCGCGTGAACAGGTGTGCGTGGGTGCGTGCTCTCCCCGCGCAGGGCCTCCGGGATGGGGGTGGGGAGCGCCACCCGGAGGGGTGTGGAGTGTCGGAGCTTCCTGTCCCCCTGGGCCTGCGACCTTTGCACGTCATGCGCTCTGTCTTTCCACCAGCCCCTGGCCACACATGTACTTTCATCCTGGGAGTACCCAGTCGTTGGGCCACTGTCCACAGACCCCACAGAGCCCGTGGCCACCTCGTGGGGCACACACCCCTGTGCTGCTGGGGCCTTCCTGGTGGCTGCCGAGCCATAGCTGCCACGTCATGTCCTTGGAGACCTTCAGGTACTGGTCACAGTTACAGGCCTGGGGACAGAGGGGCTGCCGAGGCCACGTGAGGCTCCTTCCATCCTCCCACCCACAGCCTCATGCTCCTTGCAGCTCTGGGTCTGGCTGGGGGTTTGACAGACACAAACAACACATCCCTTCCTGTCTCTGCGAGACAGGGCACACCACCTCCTGGGAGCCCTCCTTGACTGCTCTGTCCCAGTGGGTCCTGGGTAGCCTTTTCTGGCTCCCAAGACCCTGTGGCACTCTGCTATCACCTGGGCTGTTTTCCCCAACCCCCAGAGTCTTGAGGGCAAAGCCAGGCCTGGGTGGCCCTGGGCTGGCTCAGCATGGTGGGGGACACAGGGCCCAGCATTAAGGGTCAGGGTAAGCAGCCCCACAGCTGACCCCTCAGCTGGTCTTGGGGTGAGCCAAGCCATTCAAGTGTCCATGTTTCTCGACGCTGCCTGTGTCTGGGCCCACTGGGCACCGCATCTGTGGGGATCAGGAGGGAATCCACTTGTGCTCTCGTTGGGGTCCTTGTCTAGGACATGCCAGGGGTGAGGGGTTGAGCTCAGCCCTGCTGAACTGGTGGCGACCCTGGTGGAGGTGGGGGCTCCTGGGGCCTGTCCTGCCCTCCCCACACAGTTGCCCCAGGGTTGCTTTCTGATGGGCCCTGCCTGACAGGGTGAGGGACCCCACAATTCCCAGGGTGAGGTGGGGAGGGCCCCGAGGGAGAGCGGGAGGGACCAGGCCCCTAGAGACCTGGCTGGCAGGCAGGTAGGGACAGGTACCCATGGAGACATGCACACCGGTCACAGCCCTTCCAGACCTCAGAGCAACCTGCAGGAGGAAGCAGAGCCGAGAGCAGGGCCTGGGGGGTTCCCAGGCCTCAGGGAGGAGGGGCCGTGATCTGTACTCACGGGATCCCTCTCGGCCCCCACCTGGAGGAGCCTGGCCAGTGCCTGGAGGACATGGCTCCCGGGGGTGGGTGGGTAGGTGACAGCCACGGCCCCTGGAGCCTCAGGGTGTGCCCACGTCAGAGGCGGTGCCCCCCCTGCCCCGACACGCCCTTTTCCCACGGGCCTTTCAACACTGTGAGCTTGCTTTACCTGTGGCCTCATGGCTCCACATCCAGCATCGGGAGCCAGGGCCTGGGAGTGCAGGGTGGATGGGGTGGCCTCGGCTGGGAGGCCTAGGCGGGGCTGGGGTCGGGCTGATCCCAGGCAGGACCCTTCCTCCTGCTTCTCTGGGGGGCCTCCTGTCCCCCTGGCCACCTCTGCCAACCAGACCCTGGGCCGGCCTGTGACCCAGAGAGTCTGCGGGGGTGGGGGGCGCCTGGCCTCCCAGATCCAGGGACCTTCCTGGGGTAGGGTGCGGGCGGAGCCCCGGGTGCCCGTCTGGCCTGTGGTCACTCCAGGTCCAGCTGGGGAAGGAGCGGAGCACCAGTGGGCTGCCCAGCACAGAGGCCCATGTTCCCCCTGTGCAGGCCCCCCAAGGGGTCAGAGCCAGTAGGTGTGAGAGGGAGGGAGCATTGGCAGGAGGGCAGGATCCTTTCTGAGCGCTCTGCCAGCCACCCAGGACCTGGGCCTGGTGCGCACACCTGGGCGGGGCTGCCAGCTCAAGCTGAGTCACTGCACGCAGACAAACGACGGGTGCCATCCACAGGGACCTGGCCCCACCCTCGGGAACCATCGGTGCTGGTTTTCCCACGGCTGCTGCCCACTGTCACCCCATAGGGCCCTGGGAGGCCCTGCCCTACCCCCACCTCCATCTGGAAAAGCCGGTTCTGCACTCTCACCTCCTCTGCCCTGCATTCCCTGTCTGTCGGAAGGACCAGCACCTAGGGCCTCTCTGTCCATCTCCTGTCCACGGTGGGGCCCGGCAAGCCTTGCCTGACCGCCTGCTGTGGGTGGGCAGCGGCCACCCCTGGAGCAAGGCTGCGGCCCTGCCCTTTGGGGTTCACGGCCTAGCACATGCCTGCTCACGGACTTGGTGCCAGGCCAGCAGAGGCCCCCTCCTGACACCAAAGCGGTAGAGCCTTTGCCCTTTTGTTCTGAAGAAAGGGGCCTTCTTGAGGGGCTGAGTCACTTGCTCACAGTCACAGAGCCCTCGGCTAGCTAGGGCCCCACACCGGGGCCCTCACACTGACCCCCAGGAGCAGGGATGTGTGCCGGTGGTACCCAAACCACGCCCACTCCTCCTTGCGGGACACACAAACCCTAGCTTTGGGATGCTGGTGGGTCTGTGCAGACAGCAGTGGGGGTCCTGGAGGAGGCCCTGGACAGGGGCTGGGTGGTAGGGTCCCGTGAGTCCGGCCCAGTCTCTGTGCAACCCCCCATTCAGTCTGGGAGCCTGAGGCAGGGTTGGCCTCCACCCCCAGAGCCCGGCTAGGTGGGACGGGCCAGGTAAGTTGGGGGCAGGAGGGGTTGGAAAGGCTTCTGGCCTCCCTGTCCAGGGGTCCATCTGCCTGCCTGCTTCCCGCAGCTCCTACAGCTGCTCAGAGCCAATGCCTGCCATGCTCAGGGCACTCCATCTTCCTGGGGACGGCCTCAGGCAGGGGCACGAGCCCACGAGTGGGACATCGTCTCCTGGGGGCTGGGCCACCAGCAAGGGCTGGTCCTGGGACTGGTGGGGCCCATGGACCCGCAGTTAGGCAGGCCTGACCTCTTGGTCCACCCTCTGCAGCCCCCTGCTCCTCCCTCGGGCCTCGCGCATACGAGGAGCGTGGGAAAGGCCTGCTCTGGTCACTTCTCCAGCAGGTTTGGTTCTCCGGGCTTCTTGGGTGTGTGAGGAAAGGGTACGGCAGGTGCCTGGGATAGCTGTCCATTCCTCTGAGGCTAAGACTTGGCAGGGGGTAGCTGGGGGGATTTTGAGGGGCCAGTTCCCAGGCGTGGGGAGCCATGCCCAAGAGCGGGTCTGCGCTCAGCTCTGAGCCCAGGAATCACACCCACACCAACCCACAGGGTGGTCGTGGCCAGCAGAACCACAGCTGAGCAAGAGGCAAGCTCACGGCATCTGTCCTGAGCTCTGTGTCCCTGGAACTGTCTGTGTTCCTACCCGCTGGGCGCCCACCACTCCTAGATGCCCACCTGCTCTGGGTCCCCACCTCCCCTGAATACCCACCTGCCCCAGGCACACAGGCCACCCATATGCGGCCCTGGTCAGTGGGCCTGTGGGGGTCTGCTGCGTGCAACCAGTGGACACAGCCGGGACACCAGTGCGGAGAGTGGAGAGAGGCAGGCCCCAGCCAGGGCCGCAGAACGTGATGAGCAGGGCAGGAGGCGGCTCCGCCCCAGGGCCTACCAGCCCCTCTCAGGGCTGAGAGCAGCACTGGCTAAGTTCTGTTGGTTGCCTAGAGGGAGAGAGGAGGGTGGTATAGGAACCGCACCTGGGGCTCACCACAGCATGGGGCATGAGAGAGAACCCATGTTCCTCAGGGTGCCGGGCAGGAGGAACCTGCCTAGGCTGGGAGCCCAGTGGAGGGACCCACTCTTAAGGAGGATGTGGGTGAGGCTCCGGGCTCAACCAGCAGGCAGGCCTGTGACCTGAGCTCCCCACTGCAGGCTGGCCCCATTTTCTCTGCCCAGTGGGCACCTGGCGCAGCTGAGAGTTGCAGGCCCCACCTCCCAGCTGGGAACCGGGCCGGGCCACGCCAGTGTCCTGCTGTCAGGGCTTTCCACTCTTGCAAGCAAGGGGAGGGCTCGTAGAAACCTCACTCCTCCCTGATGGCAAGTGCTGTTTGGGCTCCAAGCAGGGCCCTGCCAGCCCCTGGAGCCCCCACCCTGGGTAAGGGACGGGAGGACAAGTCAGTCCGGTACCCAGACCCTGGAAGGCCATGTTCTGGGATTTTCTGACCCCACAGGCAGGGTGGATGGGGGCTTCGGCTCAGAAGCTGTGACATGCTCTAGAGTAATGGGCCGTTTCTTGCTCCTTTAGAGCAAATTAGGAGAACAGCAAAGCATAAAAAAAGCAGAAGAAAATAAACTTCCCCTCAACCCACCACCTGGTGGGAAAAGCCAGCATGGCAATGAGAAGGGTTTCCGTTTCTGGCACCTTCCCAGAGCACACCTATGCGCAGCCAGCGTCTCAGATGCTCACGTCAGGGGAGTGGGGGCCCTGGTGGGTCTCAGCCACAGGACACCAGTGTAGCTGTTCCCGTGGTGTGTTCTGCCCATTTGGTCCCTGCCTCCCCTCACCGTCCACACTTGCTGTTCTGAGAAGGGCAGGCCCTGAGGCCTTCCCTGGCTGGCTTATCCACCGTGACCCCTCCAGAGCCACCCCAACAAATGGTGCCGGGTGCAGGGCCAAAGGGCTGGGATGAAAGACCCCTGGCCTGGGGTGTTGGCCTGACACCTCGCTGGACGGGGCGGGATGAAGCCCCGGGGGGAAGCAGTGAGGCCTGGGTCCGCTCCACACCTCGTTCTCCCACGCTGTCCCAGCAACACCTCGTGGGGCCCTGAGCCATCTGCCCGCTATGCCGGGGCTGTGACCCTCCTCCAAGACAAGAGCATCAGCCAGCTTTGCCCACGAAGACCCTGCTGGCCCCATGCATGGGATGTCGCCTGATTTTCCACTGGAGACAGGCCAAGGGGCCGGGGCGGGTGGGCGGGCTGCGGTGGTGGCCAGCTCATAGCTGAAATGCTCGGGGCATCTGAGGGGTGTCATCCCCATCCCGCTTGCCAGGTACAAATGCTGGGGCAGAAGGGCCAGCCCCCAGGCCCTGGGGGTGGGGTGCTTGGCTACAGATGCTATACTGGCCTTTGGGGGAAGGTTCCGTTTTTTTGTTTTTTTTTGTTTTTTTTAATATTTTATTTATTTGAGAGAGACAGAGATAGTGAGAGAGAGCAGGAGTGGGGAGGAGAGGGAGAAGCAGGAAGCCCGACGTGGGGCTAGATCCCAGGACCCTGGGATCCTGGGCACTCCTTATTGTTGGGTTTTAAAACCTTCCCATGGGGCATCTGGGGGGCTCAGTCAGTGAAGCGTCTGCCTTTGTTCGGCTCAGGTCATGATCTCCGGGTCCTGGAATCGAGTCCCAC